AAGATATATTATTTTTCCTTTTCGATGCTATGTGTTAATATTTTATTCTCCATCAGTTGACATTATCTCGATCTTACGCACGTGGATTAATATTTGTCGTTTTCTTTAACTTGGATTCTTGATTCACATTCCAACTGAGATACTGCTGTTTTATTTTCATTGTTGTCATTGGTCTTACAATAAATTTATTATTACCAATTTACGGGGGGAAAATATTGTTTATATCCTTGACCTAAGAAACTAATTTCAAATATTTATTGCCCATAATGTTAACCCCCCTAAAATTAATCATACATAGTAGTCTTAAATTCTCGTACACATCCACCCACTCACCCACATATAAATACATAGTGAGAAGAAAATAGAGAGGAAAGGACAGATGCCTGAGTAATGCTTGTGTGAAAAGACGCTTTATGGCGTGTGTAACATAAATACTTTGACATATGTCCACTTTTGTTCCTTCTTCACCGTTCTACAGTTCCAAAAGTTTCATGTTCGTTTACCAGGCTTTTTTTTTCACAAAATCAATAGTCACCACTACTGACACTAGTTTTGTTCACTCTGATGCTTCTGGTCGTTGTCGGTGTTGAATGTACATAACGTGGGAGGACAAAAAATAAACCTGAAGCTGATCTGTAACATGTTTTTTATAACAGAGCCACTACACTTAGGATCAGTGAGTGTTTAGAGGAAGATAACAGTGAAGAGTTTCTGGTTGTCTAGATACTCAATGGTCTTTTTTTTTTTTTTAGTTCCATCACTCTGACCATGTAGTTATTAGGTTCATCGTTTCCTATACACACACTTACACTGAGTATAACTTTAACCATAGTTTAACACTTTCATGTTTCGCTAATGTAATAGTGAGTAACATGATTAACTACAAAATGACTTACACAGAGACAAACACAGAAGATATATACAACCAATAGGAAGGAGCGGCTTAATCTGTCTGATTATAACCAATGGAAATGAAAAACTCAAACTATCTGGTTATACCCGGTGGTAAGGAATCACATTATCTTTCTGGTTGTAGCCAGTAGGAAGGAGTGACGTAAATCTATCTGGTTGTAGCCAGTAGGAAGAAGTGATGTAATGTATCTTAGTTGTAGCCAGTAGGAAGAAGTGACGTAACCCATCTGGCTGTAGCCAGTAGGAAGAAGTGCCCTAATCTATCTGGTCGTAGCCAGTAGGAAGAAGTGACGTAACTTATCTGGTTGTAGCCAGTAGGAAGAAGTGCTCTAATCTATCTAGTCGTAGCCAGTAGGAAAAAGTGACGTAATCTAGCTGGCTGTAGCCAGTAGAAAGAAGTGACGTAATTTATCTGGTTGTAGCCAGTAGGGAGAAGTGACGTAATCTATCTCATTGTAGCTAGTAAGAGGAAGTGACGTATCTATCTGGTTGTTGCCAGTAGGAAGAAGTTATGTAATATATCTAGTTGTAGCCAGTAGGAAGGAATGACGTATCTATCTGGTTGTAGCCAGTAGGAAGAAGTGACGTAATCTATCTGACTGTAGCCAGTAGGAAGGAGTGACGTAATCTATCTGACTGTAGCCAGTAGAAAGAAGTGACGTAATATATCTGGTTGTAGCCAGTAGGAGGAAGTGACATAATCTATCTGGTTGTTGCCAGTAGGAATGAATGACGTAATCTATCTGGTTGTAGCAGTAGGAGGAAGTGACATAATCTATCTGGTTGTAGCCAGTAGGAAGGAATGACTTGAGTTATCAGACTATAACCAATAGAAATAAATGGCTGTAGCCAGTAGAAAGAGATAACTTACAGACCAGCCTGCATATCTCTTAGTTTCTGATTGATCAGACGGAAATCTGGTCTGTTGTCTGGATTTTCATCCCAGCATTCTTCCATACATCGAATAATGTAGTCAGAACAATGCCCGAGTTCGCTTAACGGTGGTCTGAACAGATTTTGGTCGTACAGGTGGGTATTCATGACTCTTTCAATGATACCTAGCGATTACAAGAAGAAAAAAAAACTAGCAATTTATTCATTAATAAAAAAATTAATAAAAATTAAGAGAAACCTGTAATATTAATTAGTTAAAACAGTTAGAAATAGATTAGGGAATTACTTACATGCATGATGAATATTTTAACCACGGACAATCGTAAACAACGTAAGATGCCCAAAATATTTTAGAATATACAGACAGAAACATAATAAGAATCACAACTGGCGACAACATTTTAGACTTATAGAAAAAAATAGTAAAAAGACACTAAAACTTTCATTTGTCATACAATGTATTGGTTGACCATGAAAAACCTTACTGGGTATATAATTTGTCATACAATGTATTGGTTGACCATGAAAAACCTTACTGGGTATATAATTTGTCATACAATGTATTGTTTGACCATGAAAAACCTTACTGGGTATATAATTTGTCATACAATGTTTTGGTT